TGGGCACCATAGAACTTAACACCCTTGTTCACCCAAGCCATATTATTTTCCAATAGTCCCGTAGACAATATCAGCTACTTTATGGCAGCCAGCTTGTATAACGTTACGATAGGCCTGAGTAAACACCGTTAGATTCAAGTATACTGTGATACCATATAATTTCTTCTGCGGTTACTGTAGCATATGATGTTATTGTGACTATGATACCATTACGTTCGGCCTTTTTATACGCTAAAGTCTCGCTATAGGAACGGACGGAATTACAGCGATTCCGACAGCAGACGAAATACGAAATAATGACGATACCGCGACTTCGTTTCCAATTCGAACATTACCGACTCCCATTTTTGTATCGGCAAAGCTCAACTCGTTTCATTAAGACCAATGATAGATACGTCGGCGGTTTATTCCCAAAGCAAATCAACATCAATTACGGATATTCCAAGGCTAGCCCGCGGAACAGGGAATTGTATTTCGAGAAAAATTAATGTGTAACGGATACGATGCAATGAACCGGGCTTATGCTTCTCTGTTTTCTGTGGCCGCCGTTGCAGCAGTGCATATGAATTATTGATATTGCAACTTATTGTTATCATTAATATTATTGCTGCTGCTGCTTTAGTCTTTACAATTATTGCTGTTGTCATTTCCTTGTTATTGCTATCTTTATCATTACCATTATTTTCCTTTTTGTTGTCTGTATACTATTTATCTTGATATTATCATTGTTGCTAGCATTATCATTATCATTATTGCTATCATCATTATTATTATCATTATTATCATTACTATGATTATGATTATTATCATTATCATTTTTATTATTATTATTATTATTATTATTATTATTATTATTATTATTATTATTATTATTATTATTATTATTATAGTCATCATTATTATTGCTATTGTTATCATTTTTGTTATTCGTATTCTTATTATTATTATTATTATCATTATCATTATTATTATTACTATTGTTTATTATTATTATTATTGTTGTTGTTATTGTTATTATTATTATTAGTGGTAGTAGTAGTAGTAGTAGTAGTATCTTTATCATTATCGCTATTATCATTGATATTTTTAGTACCATTATCATCTTTATCAATAATAATCTTTATTGATAATAATATTTTTTATAATTATCAGTGATATTATTGCCATTGTTATCAGTACTAGCATCATTTTATCATTATCATTATTAGCATAGTAGAATTGTTATCATTTTTGTTGTTATTAATTATCATGATCATTATTGTTACTGTTATCATTATTATCATTATCATCATTATCATTATTATAAGAATAATGATTATTGTTATTATTAGTATCATTATCATTATCATCATTGTTACTATTATTGTCATTCCTATTGCTATTCTTAATATTGTTACTATCATTACTACCATTGTCATTATTGTTATCATCATTAATACTATTATCATTAATATTGTTATTACTATTACCATTCATACTATTGGCAATACTATCATTATTGCCATCGTCATAATTTGTAATAAAAATAGTAGTAGTGATGGTAGTATTAACAGTACAGAAGTAGTGGTAGTAGCAGTAGTATTTGCTTTAAATATTATCATCCTTATATCCTGTTATTAAATGTTATTATCATTGTTGCTGTTTTCGCTGTTGCTATTACTAACATCAATAACGCATCAGTTAAAAAAATTGAGATGATTATCATTGATTTTACTATCATTGTTCTCGTTATCATTGTTATTTACACTGATGCAGTGAGTATTATATTTACTATTGGTAATATTATCATTGCCAATAATTACAGTAATCATTGTCGGTATTTTTAATAGTGTTATCTTTAGAATGTGTTATTATATGCATTATATTTAGCATTCCATTTCTATCATCATTATTGTTATCATTATTATCATCATTATTAGCAATTATTATTATTATCATTATCGATATCATTATCATTATCATTATCATTATTGTTATCAGTATTATTAGTAGTAATATTGATATTCTTATTATCATTACCATTATTGCTATTGTCATGATTATTTATTATTATCATTATTATTATTATTATTATTATTATTATTATTATTATCATTATTATTATTATTATTATTATTATTATTATTATTATTATTATTATTATTATTATTATTATTATTATTATTATTATTATTATTATTATTATTATTATTATTATTATTATTATTATTATTATCATTATTATTATTATTATTATTACTATTATTATTATAATCATCAGCAGCATCTTTATTATCATTATCATTTTATCTTTTTTCTTTTTATTATTGTTGTTATTGTTATTATTGTGGTTATTATTAGTATTGTCATTGTTATTATTAATATTACCATTACTATTATTATCATTATGACCATTATCATAATTATAATCTTTTCTATTATCATCATCACTATCATCCTTACTATTAACATTATTTCTATTATTACTGCTATTGTTGTTATGGGTGGTGGTGGTATTATCCTATCATTGCTATTATGATGGTTTTTAGTAGTAGTGGTAGTAATAATAATAGTAAGAGTAGCAGTAATAGTAATATTAATAGCAGTAGTAGTGGTAGTAATAGTAATCTGTAGTAGTAATAGTTGCAGTAATAGTAGTAGAAGTAGTAGTTGTAGTACTAATAGTAGTAGTAGTAATTGTAGTAGTAGCAGTAGTAATAGTTGTAGAAGTAGTAGTTGTAGTAGTAATAGTAGTAGTAGTAGTAATACTTAATAGTAGTAATAGTAGTAGTAGGTAGTAATATAGTTGTAGCAGTTTCCATTATTAGTAGTTCCATTATTAGTAGTTCCATTATTAGTATCATTATTGTTAATATCATCTTCACTGTCATTATTATCATTTTTATTATCATCTTGGCTATCATCATTTTTATCATTATGATAATCATTATTAGTATTACCATTGCTATCAAGATCACCTTTTTCATAGTGCAGTACAATATTGTTCAAATGTACCATAATGAAATATTGTTATTTCTGAAATAATAAATACAAATGAATCTAGAATAACTACAATATCATTGATGTGTCATGAATGTTATGAAGCTTTTTCTTTCCATTCTGAATACTGTTTTCACGTCAAAATATATTTTTGTATAGAATCCATTGACGCATTTGTATCCAAAATGTGTTTCGTATTATGATTATTCATGTTACATTGTCATGTTAATGAGGCATTTCTTCATTACACTGTAGGTTTGTCCTCGATATTCCACGTTTAACGAATTCACAATACGCAAACATTATGTTACTGAAAGTCATATTCCAGGTCATTGATTTCATTCGTGTTGCAACTTTGACGCTTAGAATAAAAGTGGTGTTTATAATTAATTACTTTTTAGTAATGATTTTTTTTTCTTTCTCTTGTTTTTAATGCAATGTCGTTTTAATAATGATTGATTTCTAAGCTAAACGTGCTTGCTATAATGATGTATTTTGTTCATTATTTTTGTTTTAGTTTTTCGTTTATTTTGCTCATATCATTTTCCTCGTTTCCTTTTGTTTTCCTCTCTTATAAATCCTTCCTTCTAACGCGTTTCCTCTCTCAGTAGAGATTAGCTTCCCAAACAGCGAGTGATTAGCGGCCACGCTTACCTCGCTTCCTCCTCACAGCTCTTTTTTTCCCACAGTGATAAAAGCTTCGTCTTTAGGCTTCCCTGCCTCTCAGATCTGCATTAACACCGATCGCACTTTGTATCGCTTCGGCCACGACTCAGATCACGGCCAGTGTTGGGGCCTCGGCGCGATCCCTTTATGATTTATGGTCAAGTGGAGCGCACCACAACCTCAGGTCAGGGGGGGGTTCCCTCGTGGGGACGCTGGGGGGGGGTGGGGGGGGGGGGAGGGGCGCCGCTTTTGTTTGATGCTCGAGATGAAAGGATCGCCTTTTGTTTGAGAATTCTTCCGTGTGTGCGTGTGTGTTTTATTCATTTTTGTTTTTTTATTTTTTCTTAGATTCGTATTCTTCGTTTTCTTTTATGGTATTTTTCTGGTCAGAGCCACGGCCCGCGTGCAACGTCCCAGCAAACTGGAATCAACAGGCTGGAAACCGTCTACCTGATTCGGATCCCGGGTATTCGGGTACTCGGGTATTCGTGACCAGCGACGGTTACTTGTTTGCGAGTGTGTGTCCTGCGGGGTATGGGAGGGCAGGGGCAGGGGTACCGGGGGAGAGATGGGAAGGGTCGGTATGGTGCGTGTTTGGGGGGGGGGAGGGCAAGGGGAGAAGGACAGTGTCCCAGGGGGTCGCCCCGAGTGCGTGGGTCAGGTAGGGTTTCTCGGGGTCGTGTTTTCCAACCTACTACAACAGGTTTCTCAAAGATACCATTTACCATTTTTTCCCCCTGTGGCTTCTCTTTTTATGTATACATTCTTCCCCTTTCGTGTTGTGCTTCCATTGTTTTATTCTCAGCCATTTTTTTTATAAATTCCAGCCTTTTTTTGTTTTGTTTAATTCCAATATTTATTTTTCATAGCCTCTGATTTTGCTTCGTTGATTAAAGAATATGTTCGATTTTGGGTTAAAGTCTTTACACATGATTAATGCTTCTCGCGGCTTCCCATTGGCTACTCATTCATCTCCCTCCCGTGGCTGCTCACCCGTGGGAATTTTTTCCCTCGGTATTCACCTCAACTCTTTAAGTGAGTTCTTTAAATCGTTTCTTTTTTTATTTATAGGAGGAGGATTCTTGACATCGTGGTAATCATTAGCATTCATTTATTTGCCCATGATGTATTCATTATGCTCTGATTATTATAGTTGATGTTATTGTTATCTTTACTTTTATTATCATTGAAATATTTTCATTATTTTTATTCTAATTTTAATCAATTATTTTTCATAAATGTTATCCTTGTTATCATTGTTGTTTATCTGTTATATTTTGATCAATTAATTCCATTTCTCTTCGTTATCATAATTTTGTTTTCATTTCATCGGAGGTCGGAAAGATAGACATACATAACAATTCATCTTTTATTTTTGTAATTATTTGATTTTATAAAAATACCCGTTATAGACTCACGATTTGAGCTCAACGTAACAGCTAAATATTATCACACTTTGGCCAAAGATATCACGATTTATACAGTGGAAATATAGTACATATATACAAATGTGACAGTAAGCAAGGAGCGCTACATAAGCTAGACGACTCAGCAACAGTTCTACAACAAAGGCCGTAATGTGAAGGCACTAGTACAGCTGTCACTCATCTTGACTAGACATAAACAATGACATACTCACGTGGTCTATTACTAAAACACTCACAAAATCTCGTCATTGCTCCCCGTTCCATACTTTCTCATCATTACAGCTCAGCCACACATATCAGAGAAAATTATAATATAGATAATATATATATTTAGATATTTTTTATACAATATTTATATGAAATAGGACGCACTGACAGCTGGTTGATCGAAGGTCTGCATCGGCGCGCCCGTGAGAGGTCGGCGCTGCTGACTCGACAGCACGTCTTGGGGTAGATACTGACGCAGGGGCTCCACGTGCTGCTGCTGACGGAGGTGCTGGTGGAGCGTGTGCACTGAAGGGAGCGTGGACGGAGGAAGCGCAGGCGTCGTCTCGTCGATGGAGGCGTAGATGTGGGAGTTGCGAGCGGCGGCGTAGTCGATCGACATGTACGAGTGGTTGAGGCTCGGGGCGAGGCTGGACTGGGCCGTCTCCACGCTGACGAAGGTCTTGTCGAGGTCGCCCGTGTCGCTGTTTATGGACGGCTGCGTGTGCTGATAGTGATGCTGCTGGTGGTAGTGGGACACGGGCGTCTTGAGGGTGTTGGTCAGCACCATGTTGGGCATGAACTGGCTCTGCTTCAGGTTGTGGTTCGGCGACAGCACGGGGACGCTGTTCCTCATGATGTAGTTGGTCTCTGTGATGTAACACTGCTGGGACATCTTCTTGGCGCCGCCGGGGAGGGCAGCGTGGAGCTTGCTCCAGAAGGACTTGTCCTCGTACTTCAGCTTGGTCGCACTTTTGACGATTCCTGATAAATCTGAATCCATGTCACTTTCATCTACATCACCACACATCACCACAATCACACGATTTTTCAGGCTTTTCAGCGCCTCGACGTGGGCGGCCTTGAAAGAAAATTTGCACCAATCGTGGTCAACGAAATTTTTCGTAAGGACTAGAACCACCTTGTGACTTGTTTCAATCGACTGCACAATAAAATCACCCACATATGAACCGACAGTCTGGTAATCTCTGGAAGAAAGGCACACTTTGTAGGAGGGGTCACCGTTCTCCAGCTCGGCGGCGAACACTTCGGTGACGAAGGGCGCGTCCATCTCGCTGTAGCTGACGAAGGCGTCGTAGAGCATGTTCCTCTCCTCCTCCTTGGCGGGGGCGGGCTGGGAGGGGAAGCACTTGAGGCCGCACTTCTTGGACACGCTGGCCTGGAGGCGCACCCGGAACACGGCGAACACGACGCCCATCACGAGCACCACGAAGAAGATGGCCAGCGTGATCAGCACCGGCTGCAGGAAGTCGTTCTCCAGCTTCTCCTGCACGATGGAAGTCGCCACGAAGTTCTCGCAGGAGTACGAACTCTCCAGCACGTAAGGGCCTGGCTCGCCCGTGGAGTTGGACACGCAGAAGATGCTCTTGGCGTCCTTCACCACGTCCGTCTCGCGGATGAGCCAGTTCTTGAAGTCGACCATGTACTGGCACTCGCAGGACCACAGGTTGATGCCGAGGGTAACGTCCTTGAGGCCCTTGTTGAGCTTCAAGTGCCACACAGGGAATTCAAACAGGAAGTTCCCATCCAGGCGAAGAACTTCGAGTGATTTCAGACCTGCGAAGGTGACGTTATTGATTACCTTCAGACGGTTGTTCTGAAGGTACAGCTCCCGAAGGTGCTCCAGATGCTCGAACTCGAACCCTTCAAGTTCGACCAACATATTGTCATGAAGATGGAGCTCCTTCAGCGTCGAGAGACCGTGGAAAGTTCGGTTCTGAATCCTTTCCACGCGAGAGCTGTTGAGGTAGAGGGCCCTCATGTTCTTGCGGCCGATCAGGTGGTGGGCGTCGAGGAAGGGCATCTCGTTGCCGTCCATGTAGACCAGCGTGGCGTCCATGGGGATGTCGTCCGGCAGCTGGTGGTGGTTCCTGGCCGAGCAATCGACGATGTTGGTGGCCCACGTGCCGTCGTGGTAGCAGGAGCAGCCGATGGGGCACGTCATCTGGCAGTCGCAGGCGATGAAGTCGCAGCAGTGGCAGAGGGCGAAGCAGTGCGACGTGTAGGGGCACAGGAACTGCGAGGGCTGAGTCTCGAGGAAGGGCACGCGGTTCTCTGCCGAGCGGGGGTACGGGAGGGTGCACGTCACCTTGTCGAGGTCCATGACGCGAGGGTGCTGGCGGAGGCTGCTGATCTGGTGGACGCGGTGCATCCACTCCATGTTGCAGTCGCAGAAGATGGGGTTCCCGCCGATGTAGAACTCGGGGAGGTCGCGCTCCTCGGGCACGCGGGGCAGGTTGATGGAGTTGAGGTCGATCTTGCTGAGCAGATTGTCGTACAGGTCAACCATGGACAGGTTTCGCTTCTCGGCGAAGGTGCCAGTGGCGATGCGAGTGATTTTGTTGCTGTTCACGAAGAGAAGCTCCACGCTGTCTGGCACCGAAGACGCGCTCAGGCTCTCCAGCTGGTTGTGGCTCACGTCGAGGGTCCTCAGCTCCAGCTTGCTCTCCAGACTGAAGTAGTTGCCAAGGTCGCGGATTCTGTTGTTGTGGAGGTCAAGGTACTGCAGCTGATCGGGAATGAGCGCGTAGTCGAACCACGAGATCCTGTTGTCGGACACATTGAGCCACAACAGGTTGGACAGAGACGCAAACAGACCGTTGATGTCACTCATCTTGTTGCCGTCCATGCGCAGCAGCTGCAGGCCGGTGTTGGTGTCGAAGGCGCCGTGTGGCACTGTGCTGAGCTCGTTCTGCGAGAGGTCGAGCACCTCCAGGTACTCGAGGCCGGCCAGGCACGACTTGCACAGTCCGCGGAGGAAGTTGTTCGACATGTCGAGGTGGCGGAGGGCCGAGAGGCTGGTCAGGTCGCCCTGGGCCACGGCGCTCAGCTGGTTATGGCTGATCCTCAGCGTCCTCAGGGAGCTGGCCTCGCGCACGGCCTCGGGAATCTCTTCAAGGAGGTTGTACTCGAGGCGGAGGTCGCGGAGGCTGGTGCAGTTCTGGAAGGCCTCGGGGGCGATGCGCGAGATGTTGTTGTGCGCCACCGAGAGCGAGGCCAGCACGTGCAGCCCCGAGAGGCCGCGAGACTCGACCGACACCAGGCTGTTGTAGCTGAGGTCGAGCCTGTGCAGGTTGGCCAGGGGCGAGAAGGTCATGTCGCCCAGCACGGTGAGCGAGTTGTGGCGGAGGTCGAGCACCTGCAGCGTGGAGAGGTCGCGGAACATGTCGAGGGTGACCTGCGTGAGGCGGTTGTGGCTGAGGTTGAGCACCACGAGCCTGAGGAGGCCACGGAACGTCTCCGCCGTCACCCACTCCGACGTGAGCTGGTTGAACGACATGTCGAGCACCGTGAGGCGGCTGAGCGCGGAGAAGAGCCCCGGCGCCAGCACGCTCAGGCTGTTGTTCTGCAGGTGGAGCTCCGTCAGGCCCAGGGTCTCGTTGAACACCTCCGGGGGCAGCGCCACCAGGCGGTTGCTCGAAATGTTCAGCACGCTGAGGGTGGACAGCCCGGAGAAGGCCCCGTCGGCCAGCATCGACACGTCGTTGTACTGCAGGTACAGCTCTCGCAGCGACTCGAGGCCGGCGAGCCCCGCCTCGGGGAGAACCACCAGGTCATTTCCTGACAGGTCGAGGGTGACCAAGTGGGCGCCGCAGCTGCCGGAGACGCCTACCTCAGACACGTCCTGCAGGCGGTTCCACGTGAGGTTGAGGTGGCGCAGCGCAGGCAGCGGGCAGAACACGCGCTCAGGCAGATTCCAGATGTTGTTCTGGCCGAGGTCGAGGCGCTCGAGATGAGGCATGCCCACCAGGCTGTCGGGGTTCAGCTCTAACGCCATGGCACTCCAGTCGCTGTTGTGCGTCCGCACCGCCAGCGCCTTCATAGCGTCCAGGCCGAGGAAGGCCCCGGCGGGCAGGCTGGTCAGCTTGCAGAACTCGATCGAAATCGTGTCCAAGTTGTAGAGCCGCTGAAACACGCGAGGCTGAAGCGACGATTGGAAGAACAACACATCACTGCACAGGATTTCTAATTCAGTCGTATGTTCACTTTGTGCGATAGAAAAATTGCTGCTGTCGAAGTCGTTCCCGATTGTCCTTAGGCTGCACGATAAAGACACTTCTCTCTGCGCTTCGTCGCGGAAGGTCCAGTCACAATTTTCTGGAGCGTTGTACACGAAAGCTACAGAACAGCTCGCAAAAACACTTGCAAACACGTATAATGCCACAGTATTCTTCATTTTGGTGGTAGTGTTCGAATACCACTTCAATCACAAAAAAGTTTTTCTTAACTTGTATTATCAACACACTACGATCATGTCAGCGGAGTTGTACAGTGACCACGAGACACGAGTGGCACATCTCTCCTCCGACAGTGCGCGGTGTAAACTAACCGCTGAGCCACACTGCCTCCCGTACTTGTAAGTTGGCCGCGACCCGCGCGTTGCCGGCGCTCGCCAGACGCCCAGCTTGCCACCAAACTTTCTTTAAGAATTCGCTGCTCTCTCTGCTCGCTCAACTTGCCGCTCTGTTCCTCGTGGCGATTGCGTGTTTCCTTTGATGAATCTGATGAATTTGTTTCTCTTATATTGAAGAAATATTGAATTAATGCCCAGGCTGTTTCTCTTGACTGCCACCAGGGCGGCGCCACCAGTCAAGAGAACGGGGGTCAAGAGGAGGAGCCAAGATGGGCCTGCCAAGACGGGATTTTTAAGAGGAGAGATATTTCTTCTGTCTCCCAAAATATAGAGTCTTCTATCCTATAAA